AAAGAGTTAGTTCTGACACAGATGGTCTTAGCTTGATACATTCACATCTCTCAAGAAACAAATCACTATCCAGAGAGCGTTGTTGAGAGTATGTTTGTTCAAGAGTCTGACAGCTTCTATGGAGAGCAGGATTTGGGAGGGGAGGGACCTCAGCAGGGTATAATGCCATAGAGGGACCCCTCTCCAGAGCAGCTGTTTTCTCCAAGGGAACTGATCTCTGTCATCTGGAGATCAGTTGTAGTTTTGGGAACTCTCCAGGGCCCACCTGGAGGTTGGCAACCCTACATGACTGAGGGAAACCGCACCCCTGGTGGAAGTTGAGGGCCATGACAAAAGAATGCTGTTTTTCTTCAATGGCTAATTATGAGGATAGTCTTCTGATTTATTTTTTCATGCTGTGGTTGAGGAACCCATCAGAGCTTGGAGAGAACCCCCTTCCAACAAAAGGGGAAGGGTATGTGTGTGAAGAAAGAGCAAGAGACAGAGGCAGACAGAGGGAGCTATGAATTGGCTGGAGGTAGGGTTGTCAATCTCCAGGTGGAGCCTGGAGATTCCCTGCTATTACAGTTGATCTCCAGACTACAGAGATCAGTTCCCCTGGAGCAAATGGCTGTGTTGGAGGATGGACTCTGTGGCATTATGTACCCTGCTGAATTCTCTCCCCTCCCTAAACCCTGACCTCCCCCAAAATCTCCAGGTACTTCCCCACCCAGAGCCGGCAACTTTAGCTGAAGGTGAAGCACCCAGGGTTGCAGGATTTCTTTCCCTCTAAGGATTTTGCGTGGGTTACCTGTAGAAAAGTCTCTCTGGATCCACCTGTGGCTCAGCTTATATATGCACAATAAACGTATGAGCTTCTCTAATCGAAAGGAAACCCGACCCTGAAAGTGCTGGCCTTGGAGCTTCTCACCATACAGGAAACATGTTCAGCACACTTGACATATAGAATTGCAGTAGGCAAATCCTGACTGGATTGCCCAGGCTAGCTTGATTACATCAGAACTTGGAAACTAAGCAGCGCCGGCCCTGGTTAGTGCTTGGATGGGAAATCACTAAGAAGGCCTATGGTCTCCTGTACAGGAGGTCAATAATCATTTCCCTCCATTGCAGAGGGAAAACTGAGGATGAATTAGTGTCTTGGCAGTCCTCTAGCTAGGTCATGGTTGAGTTGGAATTCAAACTGGAGGCTTTCCATCCCTTTAGCAATGACAGTGCAGCATCTTTTAGGATAATTGGGGGGGGGTTTCAATTGGAAGGGCTAAGCGACCCGTTTGCCACTTCTCTGCTCCCAATCATCCTCTCCACAAGCACCTTTTCCTCTCACCTTATTAACTAGAGAAGAGGCAGTGTCCCTCAAGGACAAGGTCCTTCAACTGAAACTGACCCACATGTGTAAAGCACAGAATCACTTGCTGTTCATCCACGCTTTGTGCCTCAGCGGCAGTGTTCCCTCTAAGCTGAGTTAATGTGAGCTAGCTCACAGTTTTTTAGCCTCTGGCTCACACATTTTTGTCTTAGCTCAGGAAGGATGGCTCCAGAGCAAACTGATTTATGCAGCAGCCAAATCACTCGCTCACAACTTTAAGGCCAGTAGCTCACAAAGTAGAATTTTTGCTCACAAGACTCCACAGCTTAGAGGGAACATTGCTCAGCGGTCCAGTGCATAATTTAAATCAGCAACATTGGCTACAATGCATTGCCTGGTTTTTGTGCCTGCACAGTCTGTGCCATCTATTTGAGAAGCGATCGTAAGAACTGATTGCAAGATTCATAGACAGACACTAAAGGCATGTAGAAACACTAAGTATTAAGTCTCAACTCAAAAATCTCAAACTTAATTTTTTCCTTGATACAAGGCAGTGACAGATGATTGGCAGAGGAAAGGTTGCAGCAAAAAACAAAGCAGAATAATTATGCAACAAAGAAATAATTATGCAAATTAACGTATCAGTTCATTTGGCCACATCTGAACAGCTCAAACAATCAGCTCCTTGAAACTATCAAGTAGGACATGAAGCAAGCTAGGGGCACGGTGGGGGGGTTTCCAAGCATAAATAGTTACACCAGATTGGGGGTATAATGCTTTATTTCTATAAAGCCCATTTTAGTTAACATAACTAGCTCTTCATTAATACAGTTTACAGTCTCCTTCATAAATCATGGGCCCCAGACTGTACCCGCATGTTCTATACTTGAATATCTTATTGTGTGGAAATGTTTCCTCTCACGGGGAACTGAATTGGTTACCACTCAGTTGAAGTGATCCTTATAAACCCAGGATCACACCAAAGGGCACTTTCAAATGTAATAACAATACTTAGCTTTTACAGAGTGTCTTTCAAGTGTTCATGTAGATAATCTCAGTAATCTTTGCGGCAGCGCATAGCACCCTATCGGAGAGCTGTATGCAGATGTGCCAACGCTGAAAAGACAGTCACTTGCCTACAATTACCTAGGGAGGTCATGCCATGGGTTAAGATTTGAAATGAAGCCATCATGCCGCTTGCTCTTAGCTATGCCAAGCGTCACCCGTTGCATCTCACAAGAGGCTAAAAAATTGCAATCCTCGTGAGCCTAAGTGTCTTCCCACCTACTGCATACAAAAAGGAAACCTTTCGTTCTCTTGGCAAAGCTTATAGGCATCCCAGAGTCTCTCCAGAGTCTCTGGTCTTTCACATCACCCCCCAGCTGATCCCAGATCTGTATGCAAAGCAGGTGCTCTACCGGTGAAAAGGGTTGCCAGCTCTGGATTGGGAGGTTCCTGGAGACTTGGAGGCAGGGCCTGGGGAGGGTGGGCTTTGGGGAGGGGAAGGAACTCAGCAGGATATCATGCCATAGATCCTACCCTCCAAAACAGCCATTTTCTCCAGGGCAACTGATCTCCATAGTCGAGAGATGATCACTTGTGATTCCGGGAGATCTCCAAGTCCTGCCTGGAGGTTGGCAGCACTCCCCGTGAGTCCGACTGATGTAGCAGGGGAATGCAAATGCAAACCCATGTTGCTTTTATCATGACTGTTCTCCATTCCATAGTCTTTACAGCCATTGTTTCCCAAATCACACCAAGACTGTCCTAGGATACTTAGGATGGCTTTGGTCTCACTGGCAATCTGATGGATGGCAATTTTTACTGATTCCCCCATCCCATAGCAGACCTCTGACCCCCCCCCCCTGCTGTTCCGGGGGGGGGGGGAAGGAATAGCATGAAGGGGGAGTCTGAAGTCTGCAGCAGGAGGGGTAAGCTGTGAAAATCACTCCCCCCTTCCATTACTGGACAGTTTTCACGGGATCCATCCCATTATGACTATGTTTTCAGTGGGCCTGTTGTCTTCCATTTATGATGCTGATTAGCCCCACGAACGTGACACTGGAAGGTCCACAACTAGAGCTCCGAGCATTTATTCCCTTTACAACCCACGTGGGGAGGGGGCCCTGTTCCAGTTGGAATCACAGCACAAGTGGGGGGAGGGGGGTAACCTTTCCCCCTCTGATATGTTACTCAATGGAACCGGCCCTGAGAAACTGTTCTTTGTCCCACTGGGGGGTAAACAGACAGCTGTCAGTTTGCTCCAGCGGTGCAAACAGAGCCGTGCTGTTCCCAACAGGGGAAATGACACACAGTGGCTAGGGTTATGCCAGGCCCCTCCTGGCCACGGTGGGGGATACGGGGAGGTGAGGTTGCCAGATCCAGGTTGGGAAACTCCCGGAGATTTGGGGGTGGAGCCTGGGGCAGACAGGGATCTCACTGGGGCACAATGCCATAGAATCCACCTTCCAAAACATCCATTTTTTCCCGGGGGACTGGTCTCTGTAGTCTGGAGATGAACTGTAATTCCAGGGGATCCCCGGGTCTCACCTGGAGACTGGCAACCCTAGGAGGGGGGAATTTGGGAGGGGATTTCCCCAACTACAATGTCTGATGTCTGAAGCTATCACGTTCTCCGGGGGAACTGATCTCTGTTGTCTGGAGAGAAGCTGCAATTCTGGAGGTTGGCATCACTGGGGGGAAGGGGTCTTGAAGCTCTGCCCCCTTGCCCCACGGTCCTGGCCAAAATGAGGGCCCCAAGCATATCTCTGGTGGTGGGCAAAGTACTGGAATTTCCATTCATGGAATTCTCAGCATTACACACATGGCACTCTTCTTCCACATAAACATCCACTACTGTCTCTTTGCTAATCTTGTATTATTATTGTGGTACTTTAATGTTCATTTATATATGCCTTATTCCAACAAAATTAAAGGGTTTTCTTCTTTTTGAAAAAAAGAACAGAGCAGGTTTTGAACTTTGCAGGTTGTACAAGACCAATGCTGCCTCCATGCTCAAATATTGGTCTCTGCATGCGTCCTCCTCCAACAGGTTTCCTGGGTTAGGAAAGGCCAGGGGTGTGAAGAAGAACCATGAGATTAAGGCACAAATGGTGAATGGTGATAGTATTTCCTTTTAATAATTCCAGTGCTCTGGCAGGTGAGCATTTTTCTTCTCCTCTGAAGAGGTGTGTTTCATATTAAAAGAGGACTGCAATAACATAGTTCTTTGCCGCATTCCCTATTAGGGCAATACTGGAATTCGTAGTGCAGTCCTGCATTCCTGGGAGTAAGCCCCAAAGAACAGACTTCAGTAGGATCCTTCCTGAGTAGACTTAGGATCACACTGTTGGTGGGCCGCACAAACCAGGTCGGAATCCCCTAAGTTTCCATGGGAGCTTCCTGGGCCAGCCACACCCTCGCAGCCCAGCCCACCTCACAGGATTGTTGTGAGGAGAAAAATGGAGGAGAGGAGAACAATGGAGGTCCCTTTGGGGGAGGGAGACAAGGAATAAATCAAGAGGATTTTGAAAGGCTTCTTCTGTGGTACATGCCAATCTAACCTTCACAACTTTAAAAACCTTTGGTGCAAGGAAGCAAACAGTGTGCTCAAGAGTCACTTCTGAAAAGGCTGTATTGTTTCGGTACATTAAGCATGCCGATGTTCTCTCTCCTCCCCTCTTCCTGTTTCTAGAGAATGAGCTGCGGCTATATTCTGTGCACCGTCCTGCTGTCTGTGGCCGTTCTCTTAGCTGTGACCGTCACCGGTGCGATTCTCTTTATGAACCAATACCACACGCCCGTCACAGAATCCCCACCTGTCATCAGCACCAATCCTGATGAGACTAATGCCTTGGTGACCATCGAGAAAGCCGACAGCTCTCGCATCAACATATTCATCGACCCAAATTGCCCGGATCAAGTCAATGGCCTGACCCATCTGGAAGGCCTCCAGTCTTCTCTCCTGAGGGCCGTGACCGACCACGATGCGGAAACAAAGTCATCGAAGGGGCAGGAGAGGGCCTTGTTGGTCGGCTTGGCAGATGAGGTGTCCAAGTTACTGACTCATGCCACTCAGTTGCGAGCCGACTGCGACAGCCTGAAGAAGGGACACAGCGTGATGGGGCAGGAGCTAAACACCCTTCAGAACGAGCAAGGCCGCCTCATACAGGTGAGGAGAGGGAGCGCAGCAGCGAGAATGCGGGTCCCTCTGTGCCGCCAGGTACACCTTGGAGAAGGAGACCTGGAGACCTGGGTAGCCCCGGCTAGCCTGATCTCATCAGAAGCGAAGCAGGATCAGCCCTGGTCACTGTCTGGATGGGAGACCACCAAGGAAGTCCAGGGTTGGTACACGGAGACAGAAAACCACCTCCAAAAGTCTCTTGCCTTGAAAACCCCATGGGGCCCACATAAGTCGGCTGCAACAATGGCGCTTTCTACCACCCCCCATAGCAATATAAGTACAACACATTAAACGAATGGCAGTCTGCTGGCTATATCATTCGCAGCTTCCAGGGAAGAAACACACGTGCACAAAAAAAGAATCTTGGGGCATCTTAAAGATTAACGGATGGGTTGTATCTGTTAGTCTTTAAGGTGCCACAAAGACTTCTTCAGTTTTCGCTGCAATAGATTATAGGGCCAAGGCAGCCAGACCTGGATGAAGAAGTACAGATCGGTGTGTGTGTGTGGAAAGTACCATCAAGTCACAGCCAACTTACGGCAACCCCAGAGGGGTTCTCAAGGCAGGTGACGTCCACAGGTGGCTTGCTCCTGCCTGCCTCTTCTGAGTGACCCTGGACTTCCCTGGTGGTCTCCCATCCAAGTCCTCACCAGGGCCGACCCTGCTTAGCTGTCAAGATCTGACAAGACTGGGCCATCCAGGTCAGGGATACAGAACTGGGCATCAACACCCTATGGAGACACCCAGCGCCAAAGCTTCAGGTGATTTTTCATGGCGCTTCATATCGCTGAACAGCATCTGTGAGAACAGTGAGCCCCGAGAGCCACTGCAGGTCAGTTCCCATGGTGCTGAGTTAGAGTGTGGGTGTGCACATTCATTCCTAAAATGAATGGAAATGAAACAAATGGGCCCCCCATTGATTTAATTATGGTTTTATTATGAATGGTGAAACCCCAACTAATGGGGGGAAATTCTCATTGTTTTTTCCATCTCTTTCCATTGGCAATACGAAGCAATTGGGTAGAAGCATTTTGTATCGGTCACAGTGGGGAAAGGAATGGCAGCTGGTAGACTGGAGGGCCCTACCATCTGCAGCAAAGGAAAGTGCAAGGACATAAGAACAGAAGAGAAGGCATCTTGGACCAGGCCAGTGGCCCATCCACTCCCACACTCTGTGTCACACAGCGGCCAAAAAGACCAGGGGCCCTCAGGAGGCCCACCAGCAGGGCCAGAACTCCAGAAGCCCTCTCGCTGTTGCCCCCACCCCCTAAGCACCAAGAATACAGAGCATCACTGCCCCAGACTTAAGAATGTAACAGAAGCCAATGTTGGATCAGGCCAGTCACCCATCCAGTCCAACACTCTGTGTCACACAGTGGCCAAAACCGCCAGGTGCCATCACGAGGTCCACCAGGGGGCCAGGACTCCAGAAGCCCTCCCACTATGCCCCCCCAAGCCACAAAAAGACACAGCATCACGGCCCCAGACAGAGTGTAATAAGAACATGAGAGAGTATAAGCAATGGGAAGCTCACCAAGGTGTACCTTTTCTATGTGCTTCTAAAACGGCTGTCCGAGCTCCCCACAAATTGGCAGGTCTGATTCCTTCAGGGAATTGTAGAGTGTTTGCAAAATTTAATGCTGCTTGGATGCAAAACACCAAGGTCTCAGGCAGGACAAAACAAATGACGCCAATGAAAATGAAGGCCCTGGTGGGGAAACGGCCTGAATGAAGAACTAGAATGAAGGGAGAACAGAATGAATCGGGTCTTGGAGCTAAACGGAGGTCTAACGTTAATGTTAGAAAAGACCACAGGGGGGATCTGGACCTTCCTTGTCTTCCTCAGTACTTTTCTGCCAGCCCAGCTGATTTCCTGTATCTGGCTGGAGAGGGAGGGAGGGAGAGGAGATCAGGCAGCTGACGCAGGGCTGGACTGATGCACAAAGCGAGTAAACTACGGTTAGATTTCTATAAATAGAAAACATTTGCTTAAAAACTACTAAATTTCCATTTTTGATAATGCTGGGTGAGTTCACAAGGGCGCAACAGCTAGGGTTGCCAAGTCAATTTTTCTTACCGGCAGGGGAGCCGTCTGTTGATATGTATGTGCGTGCGCAAAGCGCATGCGCGCCGCCAGCACATCCCCGGAAGTGACACACGACGTCAATCACGTTGAAGGTGTGGCCCCGACCGTCAGAGGGAAAACCATAGAGTTTTCCCTCCGATGATCGGGGCCACGCCCCCAACGTGATTGACGTGGTTGCGTCACCTCCGGTGACGCAGCCACGCTGGCACTTCAGGGGCGGAGTTCCCCCCGGGGCCCGATTCCACGGCGGCGAGAATTGGGCCTCCGAAGCGGGGTTTTACCTGCCACCCGCCCCCACTTGGCAGCCCTAGCAACAGCAGGGAACCTGGTATCCAGTCGAGGAGCTGCCTAAGACTTGATGTGAGATTCTGGGGCTCAGCCCTCACACAACCAGGCCTGGCCTTCAACTTCACAGGGCTGGCGCGTCTTCAGCCAGTCCTGCGCCTCCCTACACCATGTGCCCTTTTTGGTGATCACACTGGCTCCCACCCGGATGTCAAACATGAGCTGTAAGGACAGGAGCAAAACTGGCTTCATCGCGTCTACTTGTATGGTTGCCAACCTTCAGTTGGAGCCTGGAGATCTCCCAGAATTCCGACTGACCTCCAGATGAGAGAGATCAGTTCCCCTGGCAGGGCTCTTTTTGTAGCGGGAACTCCTTTGCATATTAGGTGACACCCCCCCTAATGTAGCCAATCCTCCAAGAGCTTACAGTAGCCCCTGTAGGAAGAGCTCTATAAGCTCTTGGAGGATTGGCTACATTAGGGGTGTGTCGCCTAATATGCAAAGGAGCTCCTGGGGGGTGGGCTGTGTGGCATTATAGCATGCTGAGGTCATTTCCCTCCCCGACTCCTGACCTCCCCAGGCTCGACCCCCAAAATCTCCAGATATTTCCCAGCCCAGAGCTGGCGACTCTGTCGGCTTGATGTATGATTAAGCGAATGGCTTCATCACAGTTCCTGTAGCCCAAAGTCAGACTGGATGTGGGTAGTTTTATCCACAGAGACTTGTGCAGGACAGTCCCAGTGAGTGGGAGAAGTTGTATCCTCCTGCAGTGCCTCTTTGGGGCCCAAGGTTGCCAACCTCCAGGTGGGGCTTGGAGATCTTCTGGAGTTACAACTGATCTCCAGACTATGGAGGTCAGTTCCTGGGGTCACCAGCCAGCCCCATGTTGGGAAACAGCTGGAGATTTTGGGGGCGGAGCCTGAGGAGAGCGGGGTTGAGGAGGGGGAGGGACAGCAAGAGGGCGTAATGCCCATGGAGTCCACCTTCCAAAGCGGCCATTTCCCCCAAGGGAACTGATCTCTGTAGCCTGGAGACCAGCTGTAATAATGGGAGCTCTCCAGCCACGACCTGGAGGCTGGCAACCCAATTAGTTCCCCTGGAAAAAATGGCTGCTTTGGAGGGTGGGGTTGCATGGCCTTATAGCTTGCTGAGGTCCTTCCCAAACCCCGCCCTCCCCAGGCTCCGTCTCCCAAATCTCCAGGAAATTCCCATCCCACATGTCCACCCAGATGCAACTCAGACAGTGCCACAGAGGCAGAGAAAGGGACATCATGAGAAGGGCCCAGATTGCTGCCCCCTTTGGTTCTGCAGTGCTATCAACTCCCTGCCTTACCTCCCCATGCGTTTATTGCTTTGGGGCACCACCTGGAGCAAAAGAGAGCTGCGCCTTCAGTTCTGCGCAGACCTACAAGGATCTTCGCTTCTACCCTCTTGCAGAAGGTCTAAAAGAAAACTTGGGCGGGTCAGACGGCAGCAAGGGAAGGGAAGGAAGGAACTCGGTTCACGTTTCCCACATGGGGCTTGAGAGCTAATTTGCCAGAAAGGTAGCTAAACACCATCGAGCCCTCAGGATATTGGCTTACCTCAGTGAACCTCTTCTCATTTTTACCTAAGCCATGCAAGGAGGAATTGCAAATTCGGTACTGATGCCTGGGGCAAGGTTAGTGGGAAAGGGAAGAACCATTAATTCTTTACAGTGTGACTGGAACATGCAAAACCCTGAAACAAAATGGATGGTTGTTTCAATGCTCGGCAGCCGGGCAAGGCTTAATTGTGTGAGGATGGAGCCCCAGGATTTGGTATTAAGTCTTAGGCAGCTCCTAGATTGGATATCAGGTTCCCTGATGTTGAACCCTCATGGACTGTCACCAAGTTCAGCCTTGCCTGGTTGCAGTTCATCCATTCAGAAAGGCCTGAAGCCACAAAAGTCCACATCATCTCTAGGGCCCTGGTCACATGGGCCAGGATGCATTGGTACTGTGCAACGCCAGGTCCATTAACAACAAAACCTCAATCCTTCGGGATTTTGTGATTGAACAACAAGCGGACCTGGCGTGCGTGACCGAGACCTGGGCGAGGGAGGGCGAGACAGTGGCTCTCGCCCAAATGACCCCGCCGGGTTACTTGGTCCTTTACCAATCACGGACTAGGGGGCGGGGGGGAGGAGTGGCACTTTTCATTTGGGAGGCTTACTCCTTCAGGGCGCTCCCGAGTGCTGAGATCGCAGGCTTGGAGTGTGTCAGCGTGATGCTGGAGGCTGAGGAGACCTTGGCGATTTGGCTGGTGTACCGACCGCCTAATGCACCGGCCAATAGTCTGCCGTCCCTGCTGGAGGCCGTATCAGGCTCGGCGTTGGATCACCCTAGACTGATTCTCCTGGGTGATTTCAACGTCCATGCTGAGGACGCGGCCTCCAGCCAGGCTACGGAGCTAGTGTCGTCCATGGTGGCACTGGGGCTCTCGCAATTTGTATCGGCCCCCATGCATTGGGCCGGTCACATGCTCGATTTGATCTTTGTGGCGGGGGTGAGGGTGGACCGGATCACTGCTGAGGCAGTGCCATGGTCAGACCACATGACCTTGAAGGCCCGTCTGAATTACCACCCCGACCCTTTGA